GGTGGGCACAGGGGCTGGGTGCAGCTGACCCTGGGGTGGGGCGAGGCTGGGCGGGGACCCTGGGCTGTGCGTTCCTCTGGTCTGCCAGCCAGATTTCCATCTGGGTCCAGTTCTTCGGGCCGTCCCACCCATCCCTGGCCCACACCTCGGCCAAGGAGGCTCGGCAGCCTTGGCACTGAGCCCTAACGAGCGAATGAGGCTTTTCTGGCTTTTGCCCGTGCAAATCAGAGTCTTCTCTGAAAGGGGGAGAGCAAATGCACCGCCTCTCTGTGCCCCTGGGGCTTTTGCCCAGTGTCCAGCTGCACCCTCGTGGGCTTTTACTGCACGTCAGCAGCACGAGAGAGGCGTTGGTTTGCCCAAAGTGCACAGCCCAACTGGAGGCTGAAACCACTGGGTTGTAGGGAAGCGCTGGCGTTGAATTCAAGGCACACAACTTACTGAGGTGAGGTCGCAGCAACTTCTCTCCTTCTGCTGGCCTTGAGCCTCCATCCTCCTGGTCTGTGCCTCCGAGTGGCTGTGCTGGTGGTTGTAAGCCACCATGCCCTGCTGTGTCCCCCGGGCGGGCAGGCCCGGGGTGGGCAGACCCTGGCAAAGCCACGGGCAGGACATCTGGTTTTCATCTCCCCTGGCTCGCGTGCAGCGAGGAAACCGCACTCGGGTGTGCCGGGGCCAAAAGAGCAAAGGAGAGCCGGGCCTGGCTGCTCCGTCAGCCGGGCGTTGAGTTACAGCTAGGAGTATTAAATAAATATTCATGAGCGCCTCGTGATATAAATAAGTGATTAAACAAGTAAATAATAGGAGGAGAGAGAAACCTCCGGGTGGAGGCATTCCAGAGAATTTGTGCAGCTCCGGTTGCTGGGCAGAGACCCCACTGGAGAAGCCGGCGGGGGGGGGCTGCCCTCCGCAGACACAGCGTGGGGAGGAGGAGCAGGTCTGCAGTGCGCCCCACACGGGCCCGGCCCCGCCATGTCCCGGCAGCAGTGCCCGTGCTGCCCCACGCCGTCCTTCCCGGTGTGCCCCCGCCGCTGCCCGGCCTGGGACTGTGCCACAGCCAGGCAGAGGCCAGCAGTAGGGAAAAGTGCATGCAAAGTGTAGAGGACCTCCGCCTCCCCCCACCCCTTTTTGCATCTTCTCCGTGTATCTGAAACCACTCTGAGATGAAAAAGTTATTTAAACTGAACAGTGGATTCCAGCCAGGCACCAGTGGCTCACGTCCGTCATCCTAGCGACTTAGGAAGCTGTGCTGTGAGGATCACAGTTCAAAGCCAGCCCAGGAAGGAAAGTCCATGAGACTCTTGTAGTTAACCACCAAAAGGCTGGAAGTAGAGCCTTGAATATGAGCCTTGAACAATAAAGCTCACAGACAGTGCCCAGGCCCTGAGTTCAAACACACACACACACACACACACACACACACACACACACACACACTTCCTTCTGACAAAGCCACCCAGGCCGCCTTCCATCCCGCTCCCCAGCATCCATTCCCCACAGCAGTCCCTTCACATCTGGCCTTGGAGTGTCCTCCCTCGGCCCTGGTCCAGGGAGCACGTGCAGAGCGTGCCTGCTTGCAGCCCTCCCTGTGGGGGGCGCTGTGCTCCCCCCCCGCAGCCCTCCGGTGCCCTCCCTGCGCACCCCACGCCAGGCAGGCCGGCCCGGGACACAGCCCTGGTCCCTGGGGAAGGACTGTGTTCCGGAGGTAGACCCCTGCTCCCAGGCAGCTCACGCAGGCTCTCCTGGAGAGAACGCCATCCGACGGCTGGCGGGGGGATTGGTTGGCGCTCTGGGGCTTGATTGTCTTCTGGAGACACAGCAGGGCCCGGAGGCCTTCTTAGGGCAGTGCCCGTGCCGAGGGCCGAAGCCCACAGCCTCCCCAGAGCGTCTCCCCACCCCACCTGCCCGCCCGCCTGGCTCCAGGCCCTGCAGAGCGTCCCTAAAAGCTTCACAGTCAGATGCTCCCTTCTGCCGGCTCCATCCCAGTCACCTGTGTGACCCCAGCAGCCTGCTCTCCCTTTCTGTGCCTCAGCGTCCCCACCTAGCAAGCCGGGGTGACAACAGCGTAAGAATTCCCTTCCAGAGTTGTGCACAGACATCCTAGACACATCCTAGACACACGATCAGTGAACGCTCACCCGGGCCAGGTACCAGGAGAAGGGTCATCAAGGGAACCGGGGAGGCGCTCTACAACTCCCCGCTCCACAACTACCCCCCGCCCGCGGCCCCAGCGCGGTGGCTGGGGTCTGCCCGTCCTGCCTGAGCAGCCCCGTGGAAGCCGGCATCTGCACGGCGCGGCTCGATGAGCAGGAAGCTGACAGAATGGCAGGGGCAGCAGGCCTTGGCCTCTCCGGGCTCTCTGGGTGTCCTGATGTGTGGCTGATGCCTCAAAGCCCCCTCCTCCCCCTGCAGCCTCCCTGTGGGGGAGGGGCGTGGCCAGGCGGAGCCCTGTGGGGAGGGGGCGCTTCGTGATGCCCCGGGCCCGTTTCAAAGCAGCTTTGTGCCTGACATCTCCGTGCAGACTCCCTGCCACTGCCGGTCACCGCGGCGATGTGCGGTGGGGCGCAGCAGGGACAGCCACGGCCGTGCCACATCAACCCAGCCACCAGGGCTTCTAGCCCGCCGGTCCAGCCTCCCTCAGGAGCGGCTCCTGGACCCTGTCCCTCCCGGGGCGGGAAGGTGCTGGGGAACGTGACACCGCCTTCCTCTGTGCAGGGCGCCCACGAAGCCACACGCCTGCCGAGTGGCTGCTGAGCCAAGCCCACCGCTGGGCGCTGAGGACAGCTCTGGCGTGCATGGGGGTGGATGTCCCAGTCAGGGGGGTCATGCAGTGGGGGAGGGGCTGAGGACAGCTCGGGCCCACGCGTGGGGTGATGTTCCAGTCGCGGGGGGGCGCGGGCGCCGTCGCTTCTCCTCCTTGAGGCCCAGCCGTCAGCCCAGCTCTGCCGCTTCCGGTGTCTGGCATTCCCGCCCAGCCATGGGCCTGGGTGACTGGCAGAGAAATCCCCCCCTGCAGTTTCTTTGCCCCCATCTCTCTGCATCTCTGACTCTTCTTGTGAGGGCGTCATCACTGAACTTGGGGCCACCCACACCCCGGATGCTCTCACCCTGAGCTCCCTGACTACATCGCCAGGATCCTGTGTCTAAGCAAGGTCCGTTCACAGGTGCGGGCAGGAGGGGGAGGACTCACTTTTTTTTTATTTGCATTTATTTTATTTTATTTTTTATTGTGAACATACTGTACGAAGGGGTTACAATTACACGGGCAGGATAATGAGTACATTTCTTACCAAGCATTGCAGCCTCCTCCTTTGTTTCCCTTCCCATCCCTTCCCATCCCCCCCGCCCCCCCAATCCTCCCCCCCCAGGACCCACACTTTCATAAGACACCAGCCATCCCAATCGACTCTCCAGAGCTGAGGCCTGGTTTAAGTGGCTGAGTGCCAAGTAAGTCTACACTCTGCGTTCAGAACCCCAGTACTGCCAAAAATAAAAGGAACAGAACCTTCTGCTACTTGCCCAATCCCCCTGTGTTCCACACAACCAACCCCCACCCCCGTCTCCGTCAGTCCCTTGGGCCTGCCTCTGAATTCCTGGGTCACTCACTGTTGACCTGAGACAGTGCCCTCTCTGCCATATACGGCCTCCTCCTCCTCCTCCCCCTTCTTCCTCCACCCTGCCCTACTTGGCTTCCTGGAGGACCCGTCAGCCCTGAGCCCTGATTCAGATGTGAACGGTGCTATGCCCCGTCTCAGCCTCCTCCAGGACAGTCTCTCTAATGGCTGGGACCTTGAATCTGGGGTTCACAGTGGTACACAATATTACTGGCATTGGGTTACCTCATGGGTGGGTGGAAGGATGAGTGGATGGGGGTGGGGGTGGGGGAGTAGGGGATGGATAGATGGATGGGTGATGGATGAATGGATGGATGAGTGGACAGGTAAGTGGATGGATAGATGGATGAATAGAGAGATGAGTGGATAGATAGATGGATGAGTGGATGCATGGATGCATGATGGATGGATGACAGGTGATGGATGATGGATGAGTAGATGGATGGATGGATGGATGGATGGATGGATGATGGACGAATGGATAGATGATGAATGGATGTTGGATGGATGAATGGATACATGGATGGATGGATGCATGGATGGATGGATCGATGATGGATGGTGGATGGATGATGGATAGATGGGTGGAAGATGGATGATGGATGGATGGATGGGTGATGGATGATGGATGGAGGGATGGATGGATGATAGATGATGGATGGATGGATGATAGATGATGGATGATAGATGGATGGGTGATGGGTAATGGATGGATGGATGGATGGGTGATGGATGGATGGATGATGGATGAATGGATGGATGGGTGATGGATGATGGATGGATGGTGGATGATGGATAGATGGACGGATGATGGATGGATGATGGATGAATGGATGGACGGGTAATGGATGATGGATGGATGGACGGATGGGTGATGGGTGATGGATAGATGGATGGATGATGGGTGAATGGATGATGAATGATGGATGGATGGATAGATGGGTAATGGATGATGGATGGATGATGGATGAATGGATGGATGGGTGATGGGTGATGGATGGATGGATGGATGGATGATGGATGAATGGATGATGGATGGTGGATGGGTAATGGATGATGGATGGATGGATGGATGATGGATGGATGGATGATAGATGGAGAGGTGATGGGTGATGGATGATGGATGGATGGATGGATGGATGATGGATGAATGGATGAATGAGTGATGGATGGATGGATGGATGGATGATGGATGAATGGATGGATGGGTGATGGGTGATGGATGGATGATGGATGGATGATGGATGATGGGTGACGGATGGATAGATGGATGGAAGGATTGCACTGAGCAGGGTGTTGGAGTAGACCAGCTGTTCCCATGTGTGTGGATGGGGCAGCACCCAAACACTTGAGAGGCGCTGGCTCATAACCCCTGCCTGCTTTGTGTTTCAGCTTATCCTCGTGAGCTCCTCCCTGAGCGCCCGGGAGCAGAGCCTGTTCCTCAGCACAGATGAGGGTGCCAGCTTCCAGAGGCAGCCCATCCCCTTCCTCGTGGAGACCCTCATCTTCCACCCTAAGCAGGAAGACAAGGTCCTTGCCTACACCAAGGAGAGCAAGGTGAGATGGCACAGGCCGGGCGCGCTCTGTGTGGCGGGCCCATCCACCCAGGCCTCGCTGGCCAGCGCCAGGCTGGACAGACATCGAGTCAGAGCAGAGGCTCAGAGCCTGAGCTGTGGACTTGTGCAGGGCTCAGCTGGGGCTGGGGGGTACGGCGCTGCGCCAACACTGCTGTGTGGCTGTGTGTTGGTGTCACTGCTGGGTGGCTGTGGGTTGGTGTCACTGCTGTGTGGCTGTGGGTTGGTGTCACTGCTATGTGGCTGTGTGTTGGTGTCACTGCTGTGTGGCTGTGTGTTGGCGTCACTGCTGGGTGGCTGTGTGTTGGTGTCACTGCTGTGTGGCTGTGGGTTGGTGTCACTGCTGTGTGGCTGTGTGTTGGCGTCACTGCTGTGTGGCTGTGTGTTGGTGTCACTGCTGTGTGTGTTGGTGTCACTGCTGTGTGGCTGTGGGTTGGTGTCACTGCTGTGTGGCTGTGGGTTGGTGTCACTGCTGTGTGGGTTGGTGTCACTGCTGTGTG